AAAACCTTCTACCTTCTACTATTATGTTCTATTTTACCTTAAAGTTTAAAACAGTCATATCATATTGCAATTATTTCTAATTGTATGCAACACAATCATATAGATTTCTCACAACAGCTTTTATACTTGCTCAAAATTATAGTTGTTGGACTATGTTACATATTACTGTATAAAATTTTTTGTTTTACTATTTTGATAACTTTTTCAACATACTTGGTTTCCTTGGAAATCTTGTAATTTTATTTTATCCATTAAAAACATACTTTGGAGAAAAGCCAGAAAGACTGTCAAGCAGTAGAAACCAGGCAAGCTTCCCTGGGAAACTTCTCTTCCAGAAGGGCTGGGTTTGTATCACCCACCGGAGGTACTACAACAAACGGTAGTGGTCCTCAGGACAGACGTTCAATGTACTGGACCCAGTGGGCCTGCCTCAGGGCTGGGGAAAAAGCACTGCTGACTACTTGGGTCTTTGCTTGGAGAGTGGGAGGACTGGAGTAGGAAGCTGTGTCTCCTATGCCAGGCCAGTCAAAGCTCATGACTTGAAGAAGAGTCAGAGCCCAAAGAGAATTCCTCTCCTGCCTCAGAAATTCTGACCTTCGGGGCACCTGGGTGGCTCAGATGGTTGAGCGACTGCCTTCGGCTCAGGTCATGATCCCGGAGTCCCGGGATCGAGTCCTGCGTCGAGTCCTGCGTCGGGTTCGCCGCTCAGCAGGGAGTCTGCTTCTCCCTCTGACCCTCCCCCATCTCATGTGCTCTCTCTCTCTCATTCTCTCTCTCTCAAATGAATAAATAAAATCTTTTTAAAAAAAAGTACACAATTCAGACTTTTAAAGAATCTAGATAACCCTTCCCAATTCAAATCACACAGAGAAAAATTTCCCAAGTTTTTCCGATATGATATACTTAAGTACAGCCAAATGCACTAACGTGGCCTTTAGGACATGGTCATCCAGCATCATCACTGCATAAAAATATAGGAAAGGAACCACTGCTCGCAGTGTCAGAGTGGAGAAGAGTGTCCTGGGAATTTAGTTCAGCTCCTCTGGATGAATCATGAAGGTACTTAAATAAGCACCCCGCCATTTGTGCAGCAGTAACACTAGCTGTATACTTCAAAGGAACATCGTAAAACTAATGTGTTTATTTATATCGTGCTTGAAGTTCTTTTGAAGAAACTAATACACCATAATTCACTGTTTAATTCAGGATCAAGAATGTTCCATATTATCTTCCTGAAACTTTCGACATTGAAAACAAAATTGTATATGATTAATTTCAAAGCTCAAAAAAACCAAGATAGTGAGGTTGGCCAATTCATTTAAGGTCAAATAAGTTGAACCAAATAAAAAAATGGAAGCCAAAAGGGAAGACTTATGTTTGAATTCCCAAGTCTGTACTTCTAGATCAAAGTATTGCACTGGGTTATATGGGAACGACAACTATCAAAACAGACAAGATGTCAATATTATTAAACATCTACGTGGTTTCTGTATTTATAAAGTACTTGGCTGTTACAAGTGTGAAAGCCTTTGCAACTTGACATGTAGAGTTAAAAATAACCTTTAACTACATAAATAACCATACTTGGGATTTTATTCAGGCTTATGTTTTTTGGAACTTTTTCATTATGTATAGTGATAGAAATACTCAGAATCACGAAAACTAAAGGATTTCAAAATGTGTGACAGTGTCAGTGAGTACCTGCATTCACATCCATAGTTTTTGTTGTGCTGAAAGCTATGGGCATGGGTATTTTAAATCTACTTATCTGTAATACCACATACAGATCACAGACATCAGTTTCTTCAATTGAAAGGAAATACCAGAAGCCATGTGATTATATTGATAAAGGCCTCAAACAGGAAATAAGGGCACAGGAAATTCACATCTGCTTCCCAGAAAATAAGGAATTAGACGCCACAGAAACAAAACATCAGACTTTCTTTCCTTTATAGGAAATGCTCAGATCAGCCATGGAAACCAGCACATTTTCAAAGCCAGCAGTGAACGGCAGGTATGTGGCAGAAGGGAAAGGATCAAGTGTCATACTGTAAGCTCTGCCGATCCACACTGGATTCTGTTAGTACTGAGTAGGAAAAAAGTCATCCTTAATATATACTAAAAATTTTCACAGATTTGTAAGACTACCAATCTAATGGAAAAACAGGTAAAGAACAGGAAAAGACAATTCACAGGGGGGAATAAAAGGTTCTATTCTTAAAAATTGGGATGTAAATCAAATCAACTATGAGAGAAAATTCTGACCTTTCAGTTAATAAAGTAAAAAGCTCTGTCAACCCATTACTGGTAAGCAAGGAGAAACAAGCACTTATCACAATTTTTCTACTAACAGCCTATAATCTTACTTTGGCTTCATCTTGATTCTGAGATCATTCCCTGGTTACACAAATTATCAAAAGCCTCATCTCCAAGACTGCTTTCATGTTCTCCACAAATTCAGTGCTGATCACAGAAGCCAAGGGAGGCCAGGGTATACATGACAAAGAGTTGGAATTTCAAAATTTCCCAGGGTAATCAGACTTTTCTGGAAAGAGCCTGAATCTTTAGGGCTAGGGAGCCATATTAAAGATTACAGAACAGATTATGGAAGAATTAATCATTACAATGCTGACTTTTGTTTCAATTTCCTATGTGCTTTTTAAACATCTTACCCACTTGAGCCTCACAACAACTTTGTCAGTTAAATGTCTTTATTTTCATTTTTTTGGACAAGCAACTTCAGACTTAAGGGTTGTTGAAATTCATATTGCTGACAAGACATATAAACCTAGGAAATTCATCACTGTAATCCCTATCTAAAACACTGCATACCCCTCTCCAATCAGGGACAGTCTGTAGGTCCTTTCTTCCTACTGCCAACAGTGCAGACACAGGCAGCTGGGTATACATATTACCTGGAACTTACACCCTGTGCTCTAGCTTTGGCCAAACCAGAGACAGCCTCCCATCTTACTTAACAAGTGGAATCCAACTGCCACCCAGTCCTGTCAGCTGTAAGCTGCTCTTCACTTTTATACAACAGGCTGCCCATCCTAAAGCAGGTAACAGCTGGAGAAGGACAAAGTTCAATCATTCTGGGAGGAGAGAAGCATTACTTAAAGTTTATGAAACCTAACTGGAGAGCTGCCAAAGGTAAGAAGAGTGTAAGAATGTAAAAAATACTAGAATGTATTCCACAAATTAAAAACAGACATTAGATACTGAAAACAGGCTACTAGTTTATAAGCACCTTAAGTGCTTTTGTTGTAGTAAAGTTACAGAGCAGAGGCAGGAGAGATTGTAGCCAACTACTAAAAGTCAGCCTCTTTGATTCCTGACCCAAGCACAGAGCTGACAGCTTGAACTTTTTTTTTTTTTTAAAGAAAGATTTTATTTTTAAGTGATCTCTACACCCAACATGGGGCTTGAACTTACAACCCTGACAGCTTGAACTCTTGCCCACTACCTACCTGGAGGGGCTGAGACCCTGGGAGACACCTACCTCATACTCTTCCATTCTCCCGTGGGAAAGGAACAATGGAAAAACAATTCTCTCTCAGGGAAAGAGAGGGTAAGGGCTGTCAGTAGAACAAAAGAAGGAGGTATCTGACTCTTTCTTTCTTTTTTTTTTTTTTTTAAAGATTTTATTTATTTGAGAGAGAGAGAGAATGAGAGAGAAAGCACATGAGATGGGGGGAGGGTCAGAGGGAGAAACAGACCCCCGCCGAGCAGGGAGCCCGATGTGGGACTCGATCCGGAGACTCCAGGATCATGACCTGAGCCAAAGGCAGTCGCTTAACCAACTGAGCCACCCAGGCACCCCTGACTCTTTCAGTAACAGCTGATTAACAATTCATATTTGAACCACAGCAAATACAAATCCTAAAGCCTAGTTCCTGGAAAATGTGCAAAATCAACAATAAAATAAATTGATCATAATCTTAAACTAACAAGAATTAAAAAAAGAACAGTTGAAAACTCCATTCCAATCAACTTAAGATGGTGTGCAAATAAAGTATCCTTCCCCCAAACTGTACAAATTGCAGAAACTTGGCACCAATGCCAAGCACTGCATGGTGGCCAGAAATCTTACTAGATTATTTGACTAGAGTCCCCAGTGAACTTTGGCAATAACATGTGGTTTATGAGTATCTAGTTTAGCATCCCCTAATTCTTTGATAAGTTATCAGTAAGTAAACTTAAGTCACAAATGTAAGTCGGTCTATGAACACTACAATGTTCATAATTTCACAGTCCACCAGCAAGAATCTCCCACTTGGTCTGCACCACACTTTTAAAAATCTCAGGCATAGAGCAGACGGGACTTGGCAGTGGTAAAAGCACAGTGACGGCCAAAACAGGCAAAAATCATTTTTCATTAATGATCCGAAGTTTTTAAAATAACCTAACTTGTGTATGTGATTTCCAGTATCTCTCTTCTATAAACTGATCCTATTATAAACTAACATTTTGTAGGATAACAAGAAACCATTCCATTTGTGGATTCTCACACATCCGATATGTCAAGTGTGGGTTTTTCTAGTCCTATGCAAACTATGAAACCACAAAGGGCTTCACAGACAGTGATGAAACATATACAGAATTGTACTTGAGATTGCTTGTGAGAATGACACTCTGAATAAAGGTTACAGGTTAAATATAAATGCAAGTATTACCTCTCCAGCTTTCTGGGTAGAGGAGAGAAGAACAGGTGATGTGTCTGAATCTTAGAGGACAACAGATTAAAGGAGAAATATAGATTTTCAGGAAATAGATGGTATTCTAGTAAGACTTTGGCTCAAGGTGCATGGGAATAGGGTGGGAAGGTAAGACTGGAAAGGTGGCGGGGTCGAGACGAAAGGTTCTAAATGTTACATTAAGGAGTTTCTACCTTAACCCACAGGGAGTGGAAAGTCATTACTGGGGCTGTGTTTGTTTATATTCAGCCGGGTCCACAAAGGATTTGAAATAACTTCAAAAAAGACCTCGGCCGGCTGGGGTTCCCGAGTCCCTTGTACCGCGACCCCCGCACGTCTGTGAACATGGCGCTGCGAGCGGTGCGGAGCGTGCGGGCTGCGGCCTGCAGTCTGCGCGTCGCCTCCGCGCCCGCCGCACCGTGCCTGACGCGGCCCTGGGGGCTGAGGGCGGGCGCCGTCCGGACACTGCGCACGGGCTCCGCTCTGCTCTCCGTGCGTAAATTCACAGACAAACATGAATGGATAACAACAGAAAATGGTATTGGAACAGTGGGAATCAGCAATTTTGCACAGGAAGCTCTGGGAGATGTTGTTTACTGTAGTCTGCCTGAAGTTGGGACAAAACTGAACAAACAAGATGAGTTTGGTGCTTTGGAAAGTGTGAAAGCTGCTAGTGAACTCTATTCTCCTCTATCAGGAGAAGTAACTGAAATTAATGAAGCTCTTGCAGAAAATCCAGGACTTGTCAACAAATCTTGTTATGAAGATGGTTGGCTGATCAAGATAGCACTCAGTGATCCTTCAGAACTGGATGAATTAATGAGTGAAGAAGCATATGAGAAATACATAAAATCTATTGAGGAGTGAAAATGGAACCCCTAAATAAACTAGTATGAAACAACTTAAAAAAAAAAAGACCTCCAAGGAGACAAAAATCAGATCAAAGGAATAATAAGGGTAGAAAAAGAAATCTGGGGCGCCTGGGTGGCTCAGTTGGTTAAGCGACTGCCTTCGGCTCAGGTCATGATCCTGGAGTCCCGGGATCGAGTCCTGCATCGGGCTCCCTGCTCAGCGGGGAGTCTGCTTCTCCCTCTGACCCTCTTCCCTCTCGTGCTCTCTGTCATTCTCTCTCAAATAAATAAATAAAATCTTAAAAAAAAAGAAAAAGAAAAAGAAATCTGTACTAGAAATGATTACACAGGCCTGCATTTGGTTTTAGGTTTACTTGCAGTCAAAGAACAAAGTTGTTCTAGAAAGAACTCCGGTAGCAGGGTATAGGGGGAATGTTCCTTAGACAGCAGCCATACAAGATCCCAAACCCTCAAGTGGGGGTTAGAGATGAAGGCAGTAGGTATTTCTACATCCTACTTTAAAGTGGGCTTTACATTCCTATTGTAATGTCAAAAATAATATAAAAAGTAATGAATTCAATTTCAATATTATATACAATCTTTTTCACATTACTAAAAGAAGAAAAACCCAATTTCAATTCCTTTACTCACCCTCTTTCTCTTTGGTCAAGGTACTAACAATGAAATGATTTATAGGAAGAAGCTAAAAGAAAGAGGCACCAAAAGACCCACCAGTACATTCTGCAGCAGGTAACAAATATGGTTTATTAGAGTCTACCTTGCAGCCGACCACGGAACTATGCCTACTGCAGAAGCAAAGTCCTCCCCATTTGTAGCAGCAGCCTGTGAATCTTTAGTTCATTAAGCCAACTCATTATGTAGTCAGTAGAAGGTATTCTAACAATACAAGAGTACAGTATCTTTTAGACAGAGTTTCTCAACCTAGTTTCACTGATATTTTGGGCCAATAATTCTTTATTGAGGGCTGTCCTGTAAACTGTAGGTACTTAGTAGCATCCCAGACCTCTACTCACTAGATCCTAGCAGCATCCTCCCAGGTTGTGACAACAAACAAAACCGGCTTCACCCAAAGCCAACTATTTCTTTGGGGCACCGTTTTTCCCAGTTGAGAACTTTAAGGCAATGGTTCTCAACTGGAAAAGTACATCAGAATCACCTTTGGAACTCGAGCCCCATGATACAGATTCTGAGTCAGTAGACCTGGAGTGGCCTAGACTTTTGTAGCAGAATCTTCAGGATGTAGGGCTTAAGAACATGTTTTCAAAAGACTTCAGAGCCACTTTTTAATGTCTAGTTAAAAATTATTATGCCAAGAAGCACTTTCAACATAAACTTTCTGATATTAGTAAATTGGAATGAATGGAATTTGGTGATATTTCACTGAGCTCTACATAAATTTTCTTTATTATAAACAATGGAAATTTCCAGTCATATACATGAGATTCATACTTACTTGCTAAAAGCAGACAGGAAAGTGCAACTAAATGCAGCTGCTGGATAGAGATGTCATATCGATCCATAAATAAGTCCAGCAAATAGACAGCAAGATGGCGGGCAGAAGGGCAGAGGGTGAAGCGATTGCTCACAATGGCAATCAGGTCAGCAAAATACCTTCTGAGACTTAGTTGAGGGGACTGGCCTTTGTAGGAAGGCAACTTCAGCTCCTATATCAAGAGGAACAATATTTAGTCTAACAGAGCGTGTAGGAGTAGTACCTGCACAATGCAAAGACGCCCCCCCCCAATATTAGTGTTAACAAGGGCCTAAAACACTTTCCTTGAAAGAAACACAAACATGAAGAAGTTGATTGGAAGGATAATGAATAGTATTAAATAACAGCATTTGATTTAAAATTTAAAACCAGACTTTTCTCCTTCATTTTTAACCATCTCTGATGTGACAAATTGTGTTTCTTGCATTACAGAATGGATATATTCCAGCAAGATTTTTGTATCCTGTTTTCCCTATCAGGTGTTTTCCGAAAAACATCCTTATCAAAATCCCAACCACACAACACATACACACCCCTTCCAGAAAGCTCAAAGCTTTGGGTCAGAAGGTAACAGGGAAGTGAATCTGCTCCTGGTCACATGCTATACTATACTTGCAAAGGCATGGAAGGTGGAGACTAGTATTCATCCACTAGTATCTTCTCAGCATGCTTCCCTTTTAGCAGTTTTATGATGCTGTCCTTTGCCATTACCTTTTCATATATCTAAAATTTCTCCCCTCACTGCTGTTCAATCTCAGAATTGTATGAACCCATTTTTTTTTAAGTTAGAAATTTTCTATAGTACTAAAGTATTTCCACAGCATAGAGAAAGACAGGTTCTAAATTGTTTCATGAGATCAGCATAATACTAAAACTAAACCCAACAGGTATCACAATAGCAGGAAATTACACAGGTATGACCCCAAAAGCACAGGCAAAAAAAGATAAATGAGACTTCATCAAAATTTACAACTTTTGTGTATCAAAGTTCACTCTTTTCAATAGAGGGATAAGGCAATCCACAGAATGGGAGAAAATATTTGCAAATCATATTCGGGCAAGAGGTTAATATCCAGATTATATAAAGAATTCTTTTATACATGCAATCCAACAACAAAAAAACAAATTACTTAAAAATGGGTAAAAGACTTGAAAAATAATTTCTCCAAAGATGATATATAAATGCCCAATAAACACATACAAAGATGCTCAACATTACTAATCATTAGGGAAATGCAAATCAAAACCATTATGAGATAACATTTCACACCCACTGGGATTGCTATTATCAAAAAAAAAAAAAAAACACAACACAGGGGCACCTGGGTGGCTCAGTTGGTTAAGCATCCGACTTAATTTTGGCTCAGGTCTGGGAGTCGTGAGATGGAGCTCTGCATTGTGCTCCATGCTGGGTGTGGAGCCTGTTTGAGATTCTTTCCCTCTCCCTCTAGCTCTCTCTTTCAACAAACAAAATAACCACAAAAACAGAAAACAAAATTAACAAGTGTTGATAGGAATGTGAAAAACTGGAAGCCTTGTGTAATGGTGGGAATATAAAATTGTACAGACACTGAACAATGGTATTGCAATTCCTCAAAAAAAATTAAACAAAGAATAACTATATGATCCAGCAATTCACTTTTAGGTATACACCAAGAAGAACTGAAGAAGGGACTCAGATATTTGTACATATATTGACAGCAGCATTATTCACAAAAGCCAAAAGGTGGAAACAATCCATCAACATATAAATGGATAAACAAAATGTATTTTAGTTTAAGAAGATGACAGGGTGCCTGGGTGGCTCAGTCGTTAAGCGTCTGCCTTCAGCTCAGGTCATGATCCCAGAGTCCTGGGATCGAGCCCCACATTGGGCTCCCTGCTCAGCGGGAAGCCTGCTTCTCCCTCTCCCACTCCCCCTGCTTGTGTTCCCTCTCTCGCTGTGTCTCTCTATGTCCAATAAATAAATAAAATCTTAAAAAAAAAAAAAGAAGAAAAAGTTCTGAAGATGGAGAGTGGTGAAAGTAGCAGAATGTAAATGTACCAAAAGTCACTGAACTGTACACTTAAGTATGGTTAAAGTTTTATGTTGTGGACATTTTACAATAAACACCAAAAACAGAAGTTATACATCTAACTTAATAAGGTATAAAACTTTAGATAAAATGTTAGCCAAGGTAATTTAATAGTATATCCAAAGAATATCATCAATTGTGGTACATCCTGGGAATTCAAAGATGGTTTGATATCAGGAAATCTACAACTATAAATCATAATTTAAAAATCACACATGAATATTCACAATCATCTTGATAGATGCCAAAATAGCATCTGGACAAAGGTGACCCTGGGAGAAATAATATCAGATGTATATTTCTTTGATGAAGGAAGGAAGGTAAAAAAAAAAAAAATCTCAAATTTAAGAGCCAGCATCTCACTTGGAGATAAAACAGTAGAAGGATTAGCATTCTAGTGCCTGCTATTGCAATATTACTTAACATTATTCTGTGAACACTAACTAATCCAAATAGAAAAAGGAAAGAAAAGGTTTAATGACTGGAAAAGGAGAATCAAAAGTCAATTATAGGAATAAAAATATTTTTTAGATGATAGAATTTATATCCAAGAAAACCAACAGAAAAAGTAAACAGTATTCAGTAAGATGGCTGTTTACAAAATTAATATTAAAAAAATCAATAGCCTGGGGCCTCCTTCAGCTCAGGTCATGATCCCAGGGTCCTGGGATGGAGCCCAGAAGGGAGCCTGCTTCTCCCTCTCCCTCTGCCTGCTGCTCTCCCAGCTTGTGCTCTGTCATATAAAATCTTAAAAACAAAAACAAAAAAAAACAATAGCCTATTTGTATATTAACTGGTTAGAAAATAGAAGATTCCATACAAACTAACTATAAAAATTAAAACACCTAGAAAAAATATTTATATTTCAGCACTCTATGAAGGTAACATTAAAATTCTAAAGGCGTATGGAAGACTTGCATACATGCAAAGACATTCCTTTTTCTTGGATAAAGAAATCGATTTGATAACAATGGCATTTCAAATCAGGAGAACAGATGAACGTAATAGATGTTTCTGACACATAGGACAGAGTTAATTTCTCTATTATTTAGAGAAATCCTACACATACACATCGGTAAGAAAAAGGCAACATTTAGGGGCACCTGGGTGGCTCAGTCATTAAGGGTCTGCCTTCGGCTCAGGTCATGATCCCAGGGTCCTGGGATCGAGCCCCGCATCAGGCTCCCTGCTCTGCGGGAAGCCTGCTTCTCCCTCTCCCACTCCCTCTGCTTGTGTTCCCTCTCTCGCTGTGTCTCTGTCAAGTAAATAAATAAAATCTTAAAAAAAAAAAACACATTTATAAACAGTTTATTGGAAAATTAAATATGGCCAAAAACATATAAAAAGATGGCTATTCTCATTCAAAACTAAAGAATTACGTAGTTTTTCACTTCCCAGATTATATTTTATTAACTTTCCCTTATGCTATCAAGAGTGGAAACAGGAACTACCAT